CAAGGTTCCTTTGATTCATCAACAACTGACTAATGATCTCCAGTCTTCAACGGATCCTCAGGTGATATCAATTTAACAACCAAATTTTATTTAATCTCTAGTTGGGGAGCACGATACTGTCCATTGAAACACTGGATTTAAGGTACAAGAATAACAGATTCGAAATCCGATTCATGTTGTTGTCATAGGAGAATTATTTCTTGGAAAATGTTTGAGATGTACAGCTCGGGTGAATGCTTTTGATAATGTTATGTTTTCTGAGCTAGATAGTTTAATGGTAGAACTCTCATTCTCTCTGGATGCAAAGTGCTGCTTCAAGATTGGTTTGCATCTGAACTATTGATAAGGAGTGTAGTGGTTTCAGTGTATCGACCGCTTCACTTATCTCAGAAGTCTCTTCAGCTTGTGTGGGTTGGTGCCTGACGACATCTCGGCATGATACAGAAAGCTCCGTTGGCATTTCCTAGCTTGTGTCACTTGTAGTGTAGGTAAAGTGTCTGTCTGTTAACCAAATGGGTTATATACTGTGCAGCAATCCTCCCTGTTCTCCTTTATGGCTGTAGAACATGGTCTGCGAAAGAAGATACTGATAGGCTGAAGATTTCGAATCATAGATGTCTTCGTAGCATTTCTCGCGTTTCAAGGAATGCGTGTTAAATATTCTCATAGAAATATTAAAATATATAAATTCAGAAATGCTTCTTTGCAATTAATGCTTTACCATAGTTCTAAACATAAATATGATGTATGATATTCGGTTAGCTGCCAAACCAATTGAGCAATGTAATAATTTTCAATCATTCAGAAATATCTTTCTAAACTTAGTTCTATCTGTCAAAACTCAGATGGCAATTAGTTTGTTATCAAAACAGATATCCTGACTGCTGCTACTACATTGACAAGTTAGTCGGACTTACTTATTGTGCTGACCTAGTCAAGTTAGATTAGCTGGGACACGTTTCTTTAAGACCATGGGTACCAGATAGATTAGCTAAAGAGCAGCAAAACCAGAAGCACCAAATTCATGACCGAAGGACAAAGTTTTATCTGCAACTGTACAAGGGTGTAACAGCCAGCATTTATAGCGATGCTGACTCTCCACAGAGAAAAGAAGTAGTTAGAGAAGGTTGGTGGAGGAAATATTACACCCCAACGTGTTCCATGGATTTCTGTTGCCGATGGTAATGGCTTAAAATAACAGAGCTTATTTATCAAAAAGTACTCTCAAAGATTCTGTGTGTGTTGCCTAGTTCAAGCTGTTTTCCATTGGGCGGTGTGGCCATCTCCCAAGTTATTAAGACCACCAATGACTCGATTTTCTTTTCAGGTTCCTCAGTATAAAGCAATCTTCCACGGTGTAGGCAACCAGGAAGTGACAGCCACCCTCATACCTCTAACAGCACTACTGACTAATTTGAAAAACTAATCATTTAGGTATTATTGTAATAAACGCGAACTCAGGAGGGGAAAACCAATTTATTGTTTAGTGCAAAATTACAGAGTTCTTTGGTAAAATGTGAAAACCATACATTAAATACTTCATTTGCAAATTCTCCATCAATTATCACAAACTTCATCGTCTTTCATTGGTATTACAACTGCTCTCTGTTTACATTACCGCTCTCTCCTATTCGAATTTCTCAACCTACTGCTGCCAGGCATTCCACTTCTGATTGGTGTTACATACTACGTGTGTCGACAGACATAAGTAGCATACACCACAATGTAATAAGGAATCTAAACATGATTTTCTCAAGGTATCATTTTACTGACTAGCTAACAGTCAGGTCGAGATAGCCAGGATGAAGAAGAAGAACTCCATTTTATTGTAAGCGTACTCATATTTTAGCTATCACAGATAACACTAAATTTAGATGATATATTGTTAAGTAATCTACAACATTTTGGTTGGTACTAATATTATTTTTCACTTGTTCAACCTATACCATACTATTCTATAGAACTATGATCGTGTGAAGTTAATTAGAATGAGGGAAACAATCAAATCAGTGTCAGAATTGTTGAGAAAATCATTATGTAGTTGTTTCGTCATACTCTGGGCGTTTGCACCATTCTTGAATTTGTGTATCGGATAAATATCACACATTTCTTTGTCAAGAATAAAGAGAAACACTGAATTAAGATCTTAAATTCATTTTATATGTACTTGACAAAAGATGTGATCCTAAGTTTTTAGCTCCAATATCATTTCAAACTTATATTTCTCGAATTTATTCTCTTTTCCAACCATATTCAACATTTATTGTTTTTCACTATATTGATACCATTATTATTTCGAATTTTTTAATATTCATCTGAATATTGTTTACCAATGACATAGAACCATGCCATTACATTTTAATTTCTTCTGTAAAAACTATTCAACTGATTGTAAGTTAACTAACTTTAATTCATTGTTATATCCTTAAATCCAATTCCACTACTTATCTTCAACGTTTCCAATGTTGAGTAGCTGTTTTTTACCCATCACTTTCGACCACTTTTCAATCCATTTGATGTGTGAGTGCTATATAATGGAGTGCAATGTTCACTAAATACTTCATTTCAAACTTCTGGAGTTAACCACAACTGTCTGCTATGTACGTGTTAGTGTAGCTCACATCAATCAATTGAATGAAAAGTACAAATATATATTAAAGCTAGTGATTTGAATAATATCTCTGATGAAAATTATGCTCTAATATCTAGTGATTAATCACCTACTATTGAATAGGAAAATAGCTGACCTATCGAACACTGGGAACGTTGTGAGCGATCTCAGCTATTCTCTGGTACATATTTACTACTTAATATATTAGCTACCAGACAAAATAAGAATAACAGAGAAGTATTTTTTCAGGTGTATTAAATAATTCAATAAAATATTAACAAATGAAAGTAAATAATCATTGCTCTGTCAATAGTAAGTGGCTTCAATTAATAATTACTTTCCAGCCTTATTGCATAGAAAGATCAAGAAAATTTCATATTGTAACACATCAAATTTCATTGATCCTTTTCACCTCATGATCTCTCTCACTCGCTCTTAGTTTCATTCTAATCTTACTATGTGCGCATGCGTACACATGATTATATGTATTGTTAAATAGTATACATATGTTGTAAACGTGACCTAATAATTTTAACTAGTTTTGTTGGTTGGTTGGTTGGATTGCAGTTACACACGTGTCTAAAAGCCTTAAAATCACTGGTCTGATATTGATCGTGATAGTATATATATATAAAGTTGATAAGTGTTTTCGAAATTACACCAGTATTCCTTTGTGTTAACTAAAACAATTGTGTTCTAATGACTTATTTTACTCTTGATCATTGTTTTTTACTCCAATAGTTTGAATTACAATGTGGATTGTTGGAATTGTTCCATTCAGATAATTATAGCTTCATCCCATTGTGTGGCTATGTGTGTTGGGAAGAAATCTGAACAGTTCGAACCCCCAGTATATCTTTTAAAATCGATCACCTAGTTAGTCTTGTAAATCTTCATACAGTTGGTATATAGTATTTGGCATAGTGTAGGAATTGTCAAGTTGCGTTGTGTTGGAATATTGGTTCGTTTTCACTAAAATTAGCTTACAGATGTGTTTTTTTCAGAACATTAAATCTTTTATCGATTAAACTATTATAAGAGCTAAGAATGGAGTTCAAGTGGGACACTCCTGATTTATGAAAATAAAAATATCAGTAATGAGTTCTTTACTCAATTATGATACGAAATAAAAATCGTGCTATATTATCGATCTATTAAGTTTGAAACTATCATGTTTGTCGTGTGAGATTTAAAGTCCATCAGTTGAATCACATGTGTTGACATTTCTGTAAATATTGATTTCAATCTAGGGAGAAAGAGAATTGTTCATTGTTCCCTATGTATCTAATGCTTTTTTTCAGCCAAAATTATCTCGTGATTAAAAAAATGCTTCCAATTTATATTAGCTGTTATTGTTTTTCTGTACTATCCAATAAGATTTATCCTTATATATATATACTATGCACTTTAAGAACTCATTTTGTCCGAAAATCATAGAAATCACGCGCTAATTTTCTCTATCTGAATTTGTATGTATGTGCTTTTCTCTCTACTTAGTTTCTTGATTTGTTTCATGGAATATATATATATAATGTTATTACTTGTCCATTTTTAATGGTTCATATTTAGGCAATTTAATTAGAAATGATATATACGGATGACATCACGTTTCATACTAACTCTACAATTTATAACTAACATAGTTTATAAATAAATAATGTATTTGTAATATCCCAATAAGTAGAAAATTAGATTTTCTGACGTTTCGTGACTTAGTGTAAGTCACTTCTTCAGAGAATAAATAACCAAATTAAAATTAATCCAAGTTTAAATAGTACAACGGAACAAACCATTTGCATATCTTCGATCATTCTTCCTATCCATTTGTTATTCTGATTACTGTTCTTCTAGTAAGCATCCCAATTCCAATCCCTACTAAGTACTACTTATGTCTGTTCATGTAAGTAGTTCACAACACACTAGTATGGTTTTTAGGCTATTATTAGTGCGTGATGAAAGCAAATTTCAGATTAAACTACTTTCCACAAATTACTTATTTATTTACGCCTGTTACCCCTTGTGGAGGGGCATAGACTACCCACCAGCATTCTCCGTCGAACTCTGTCCTAGGCAATCCTTGCCAGCTGCTATTCATCCTTTTGATGTCTGTTTCCGATTCTCGTCGCAGTGTGTTCGCTTGTCTTCCTCTCCGTTTCCATTCAGGATTCCATATTAAGGCTTGCCCCGTGGTTTGACAATTTCCTCAATGTATGTCCTATTCACTTCCATCCTCTTTTCCTAATTTCTTCTTTAGCTGGATTCCACAAATTAATTAACTTAAAAATTTCTTTAAAATAGATATGCTCCACATAGAAAGTAATCTATAAATAATCAATTTCCTCATCACTACTCACGCTTTTTTATTTGTTTTTTTTTAATTTCTCTTTAGATAACTCACCTAATTCATGTCATGAATATGATACGTTACTTATGCTTCCTTCCTCATCATCATCTTCTACATCATCAATTGGATACATCAATAATCATTGTAATTCCATGTGTTCAAGTCCTACAGAAATGGATTTCTTAAATTCATCCACTTCTTCATATGCTAATAATTGTAACAATAATAATAATATTAATAATTGTTATAGTACAATATCTCCAATTGAATGTTCTTCATCATCGTCAAATAGTTCTTGTTGTTCATTTAAATCACAACAATGCTACAATTGTATAAACTCAATTCAGGTGAATAATCATTTAAATAATGATAATGTATCATCAAAATCTTCTAATAATTCTACAACTACTGCTATTAGTAGTAGTAATAGTAGGGCTACTACTATTACTAATTCCGTTGATACTATTGCTCCAGATAGTACTGTTATTATTTCTACTTCTAATCCATATGTGAAACTGTTTACAAGTTCAAATAGTTCACTTATTGATCATCAAACTCAACCACATATTTCATCATTATCAATGAGAACTAGTAAACCTGTATGGCAAATGAAATTCACACGTAAACAGTATGTTTATAATCGTACAATTGTAAATAGCAGTTCTTCCATTGCATCATTAACACGGTCTCGTCAATCGCATCATCATCATCAAAACAACCACTACCATCAACAACAATTACATCATTATTATCATCAATCTAAACGTCGTTTCTCTTCCTTATCAAAGAAATCATTTCCTGTAAATAATAATCATATTGATCAAATCTATAATTCACATCCAATTTCAATGCATTATGATTATTCTTTTAGTAATAGTGATATAGTACAGCAATTACCATCTAATCAAATTGTTACGTCATCTCAAGGACAAACCGTTCAATATCCTACTCATGATTTATTATCCACTTATACATTTCAGTTATCTCCATCAATTTCAAATAATCAAAGAGAAAAGTTATTCTATAATAATAATAATAATAATACTATCGACAATAAGAATGTTGAGGGTACTGTAAATATTCTAGAACGTGAAGAAAATAGTCTTATGTATACACCTGTTTCAATAAGAAAAGAACATAATGAATCATCGTCCATTCGACCGTCATCATCATCATTATCTTCATTTTCAATAACACCAACACTAACTAACAATAGTACTACTAATTCTGTAACATGTAAAAACCAATCTAAAACTAATTCAATCCATCATTCTATAAATATATCTAATCCTGTTCATAAACGTTTGCATTTGTTACAATTTATTAGTAAACTTTTACAATATTCTTCTGATTCATCAACATCATCTTTAACGAATTCCACAAATTCATCGTCATTGTCATCATCATCATCCTCTGCATTCCTTTCATCATTATTTCCTACAACATCTACAAGTTCATTTTGTTCAATTAATCAACAACCGGATGAATTTATACTACATTTATTCAATCCTAATTCACAATATCTTAATTGTGTTCAGTGGATTGATAAACAAGCACGTATTTTTCAAATAAGAAATCCACAAAAGTTATCACAATTATGGGGATATTATCGTAAAAATGTCAATATGACTTTTGAATCGGTTAGTCGTAGTTTAAGGTAAGTTATTATTTAGTTTAGTTCAAGATTAGATTGTTCTCAACGTCGTAAATGTTATATTTTCTGTTGTATTCATCACTTTCGACGACTTTTCCGCTCATATACTGTGCTGTGTTTACTTACTTACTTACTTACATCTGCTACTCCTAACGGAGCATAGGCCGCAGACAAGCATTCTCCAACCTACTCTGTCCTGGGCCTTCCTTTCCAGCTCTATCCAATTTTTGTTCATTCTTCTCATATCTGTCTCCATTTCTCGATGTAATGTGTTCTTTGGTCTTCCTCTTTTCCTTTGGCCTTGAGGATTCCATGTGAGGGCATGCCTTGAGACGCAGTTCGGTGCCTTCCTCAATGTGTGTCCTATACACTTCCAGCGCTTCTTCCTGATTTCTTCCTCCTCTGGGATCTGGTTTGTTCTCTCCCAGAGTAGGTTGTTGATAATAGTGTCCGGCCAACGGATCCGAAGTATTTTGCGTAGACAACTGTTAATAAACACCTGTATTTTCTGGATGATGGCTTTCGTAGTTCTCCAGGTTTCTGCCCTATACAGTAGAACTGTCTTGACATTTGTATTGAAAATCCTGACCTTGGTGTTGGTTGACAGTTGCTTTGAGTTCCAGATGTTCTTCAGTTGTAAATATGCTGCTCTTGCTTTGCCGATCCGCGCCTTCACATCTGCATCAGATCCACCCTGTTCATCAATGATGCTGCCAAAATATGTAAAGGTTTTTACATCTTCCGAATCATCTCCGTCAATTGTGATTGGATTGGTGCATGCTGTGTTATATCGGAGAATCTTGCTTTTCCCTTTGTGTATATTGAGACCTACTGATGCTGAGGCTGCTGCTACACTGGTCGTCTTCTGTATTTGTTGTTGCGTTTGCGATAGAAGGGCCAGATCATCTGCGAAGTCTAGATCGTCCAACTGCATCCTAGATGTTCATTGTATCCCGTGTTTCCCTTCAGATATTGACATCTTCATGATCCAGTCGACTGCCAGGAGAAAGAGAAAGGGTGAGAGTAAGCAACCTTGCCTGACACCGGTCTTTAGCTCGAACGAGTCTGTGACCTGACCTCCATGAACGATTTTGCAGTTTATTCCATCATAGAAATTCCGTGTGATATTGACTATCTTCTCAGGTACGTTGTAGTGTCGAAGAATCTTCCATAGTGCTGTTCTGTCCATGTTATCAAATGTTTTTTCGTGGTCGATGAAGTTGATGTAGTGATGAATTCCATTCAATTGATTGTTCCACAATGATCCGTAGAGTTGCGATTTGGTCTGTACACGATCTATCCTTACGGAATCCTGCCTGTTGATCTCGAGGTTGGACGTCTACGGAGTCCCTTATCCTGTTTAACAATACCCTGTTGAAGACTTTTCCCGGCATTGAGAGAAGAGTGATGCCCCTGTAGTTATCACAGTTGCTGAGATCTCCTTTCTTTGGTATTTTGATCAGAAGTCGTTTCCAGTCTTTTGGTACTTGTTCCTCATCCCAAATCTTATTGAAGAGTATGTGGAGTATCCTTGCAGTTACCGCTACGTCTGCTTTTAGTGCCTCTGCTGGAATGTTGTCTGGTCCTGCTGCTTTGCCACTCTTAATTTGTCTGATGGCCATGCTTATCTCTTCAATTGTTGTTGAGCCAACATCGGTTGGGAGGTCCGTGGGTGCTGCTTCGATGTTGGGTGGGTTTAGTGGAGCTGGTCGATTCAAGAGTTCTTTGAAGTGTTCTACCCATCTGTTTTGTTGTTCTTCAATGTTGGTGATTACCTTGCCTTCCTTGCTTTTCACTGGTCGTTCTTGTTTGCGGCGATTTACAGAGAGTTTCTTTATCGTGTCATACAGTTGTCTCATTTTTTTTCTCTTGGAGCCTTTTCCGCCGTCGTTGCTATATCTTCCACATATTTACGTTTGTCGGTTCTAATGCTCCTCTTCACTTGATTGTTTACTTCTGTGTATTCAACTTGTGCCTTGGCTTTTTCTGCTGTTGTTCGATTGGTATTGATTGCTGCTTTCTTGTTCCTTCTTTCTTGAATCTTATCCAGTGTATCAACCGTGATCCATTCCTTGTGATAGTGTTTCTTGTGGCCCAGGACCTCATGACATGTTGAAGTGATTGCCTCTTTGATCTCCTTCCAGTTGCTCTCCATAGTAGTCCTTTCTACATTGAGTAGATCAAGAAAGGCCTGGAACTTGTTGCTGAGGACTATCTTGAATTCGTATTGAACATTTGTGATATTGTCCGCCCCATTGTCCAGTGCTTCTTGAGTTTCAATTTCACTTTGGCGACCAACAAGTGATGGTCTGATGCTGTATCAGCTCCTCTCTTGGTTCTCACGTCCTCCATAGTCCTCCTGAACGTTTCGTTGATGCAAATATGGTCGATTTGGTTTTGCGTGGTGTGATCCGGTGAAGTCCATGTGGTTTTGTGTATGCGTTTATGTGGGAATATGGTGCCGCCTATGACCAGTTTACTGAAGGCACATAGGTTTGCGAATCTCTCACCATTTTCGTTCCTTTCTCCCGGTCCGTGTCGTCCCATGATGTCTTCATATCCAGTGTTGTCCGTTCCAACCTTGGCATTGAAATCTCCCATCAGAATGGTGAGATCCTCTGTTGGGCACTTCTCGACTATTGACTGCAGCCTATCGTAGAATTGATCTTTAGCGTCTTCATTGTAGTCGTTGGTAGGCGCGTAGCATTGGATGATGTTCATTGAAATGCCCTCTTTCTTTGTTTTGAAGGAGGCTTTGATGGTCCTTGGTCCATGGGATTCCCATCCTATCAGTGCATTTTGTGCTTGTTTGGACAGCGTCAATGCAACTCCTTGTGTGTGTGGAGTATTTTCTTCTTCATGCCCGGAGTATAACAGAAGCTCTCCTGAATTTAGTCGTTGTTATCCAACTTGCGTCCAATGTGTTTCATTGATCCCAAGTACCTCTAGGTTGTAACTCCTCATTTCTGCAGCAATTTGGAAGGCTATCCCGGTGTCCCACATCGTACGAACATTCCATGTACCTAAATAAATGGTTGGTCTGGTTGTCAGAAGGGGCATCGGCCTCGTAACTTCCGAAGGAATTTGGCTTTCATCATGAGGCGTCATAGTTCTTTTAAATGAAGACCTTCTGACTCCCGGGGCAGAGTTTAAAAGGTTTGAATAATTTTTTTTGGTTAGCGGTTTTTTTAGCGAGTTAGTTTTCTATGGGATGCGGTCGCTAACCCCATATTCAACCCTCCTCCTTTATCCGGGCTTGGGACTGGCAGTAGCCCCTGGAGGGACTCCAAGAGGAGTTACTGTGCTGTGTGCTAGATATTAATGTTTCGTTTTAAATTGATTGACTAGTGACTAGTGATTAATGTTATATTTGTCTAATCGTTTAGTATTGGTCGAATTCTATTGATTAAGTTGTAATGTTATGTTTAGTCGAAATGACTGCACATCGATTGTATTATGTTTTGATATCCGGTGGTTAAAAGTAAACGATAGGAAACTCGAGTCAGGATTTGTACCACATGGCACTCATCAGAAAAATGTCTGAAAATCGAGGAAACTGATGCTCTCTGTTGAACTTAAACCTGGGTTACCTAAGTTTATAAACTGATCAATTAAAAACATCTGACTTCTACAGGTCAGTTGCGGCCCAAATAGCTCAGTTATAATATCTCGAACTTTGATGCGAGTTATATTCTATCAGGAATGTCAGTTCGCTCAAGATGACAGTCACACCTTACTGATAAATTCCAAGTACCACAAAACTCTAGATCCAAGGTTTTCTATTGGCTGCCTTCAACCACTAACTGATATCTCAAAAGAGTGTAATTTTCATTAATGATTCCATTTTATATGTACTTTTTTCTGACATATTGGTTCGGGTTACAATAACGTGTTTATAACAGACAATTGCGTATAATTCCAAACGCCTGAAATGAATGAAATCTTTCCTGAAAATTGTACTTCATTATTCAGAACACCCCTACCAAATAAATAGAAAAATGAGCAAAACTACTAAATATAACACATGTTAAACATTCAAAATATTTGAGACGATGGAAAAGATTTGTAGCTCAGGTGGATGATTTAGTCGTGAGGCTTTCGTCGTTATTCTGAATGACATCATCAGCACAAACTTCAGGTAGAATTGAAGTGTTCGAATTTCTTCGCATATGGCTCACAGAAGTAAACAATGACAAGTTAAAAGTCAACAATAACCAATCAACATCAAGGTCTACAGGACAAGCTGTGAGCCATATGTGGAGAAATTCGAACACTTCAATTCTACCTGAAGTTTGTGCTGATGATGTCATCCAGAATAATGACGAAAGCTTCATGACCAAATCATCCAGCTCAGAGAACAAAACTCCATCGAAATTCAAAGCATTGTGAACAACTCTTGTCATTTTCTCTTTTTTAAGTAACTTCTAGTAATCATCAACCATTGACTTTATTCAATTTCACCACTGTCTCTGTGTTTGTGTCTGTTTATTTCACATTATATAGATTGTATTATGTCTCTGGGAAATTAGAACGTATTCGTGGTCAACGTAATCAATATCGTTTTTTAGACGTAAATGCTTAAATTACACAATTACATAATATTCATTTATGATTTTTTTCCTCGCTAGTTTACAGCATCCCGTCTTCTGCACTATCATTTTCTTTATTTACCCTTTTTTACTTTTCTCTCGTGTTTTTGTTAAAAATTTTCTAGAACTATTTTTAGTGAGAAAAAGATTAGCATATAAAATTTTAAGAAGCAACCTACTTTGTATATTTTCATTTATGATCTGTGTTACATTGCTTTGTCTGTTGGATTATTACTATTATTTTTATTATTATTATCGTAACTATTCCTGTTGGGGTGGCCTATAGCTCTTCCACTAGGAGTAACAGGCTTAAATGAGTATTTTAACTATAATTATCATATAATTCTTGTATGGATACACGCACATATTCTGCCAGTTCACGTAACACATACACATTAAAATTCTTCTTTACAACTTTATTATATGAAATTGTCTTTCTTATTGATTTCACTCAGATAAAATGAAATAAGTTTTGAATATTATTTTCTATTATTTCCATTGTTACTATCATTCTTTCTTATGATTATTTTCTTTGTCTTTCGTTTATTCAATATTATAAACGTCCATAGTGATGATATTAGTTGTTAAGTTGTTTTGTCTATTATTATTATTATTATTTCAAAGTACACAATAATTTCCACCCCTTTCTTTGTCTTTCCATCAATTCTATTTAGTATATTTAAACAAAGATAAACCTCTGCCTTAGTAACAAAAATTAATTACAAGAGAAAAACATTTTTTTTTAAAAAGAAAAGAAAATCTGACAATGTATTTTCATCTTGATTCTTATTTCTACTCTTTTTTTTCCTTTCTAATTTCATAGTGAAAGTAAGGCAAACAAATTCAATATTCAAGATTTTAGTCAAATAAATAAAATGAATGATAATTTTAAAAATAGTAGTCAATTTTATTTTTCTTGCCAAATATATAAATATACATATTTAAATTTCAATTAATTTGTGAAAAGAAGAAAAAAGAAAAGTAAACAAAAATTACTTTGCAGATTATTTTGTTTATTTATTTATTTACTTATCTGTTTATTTATGATCAATGTGATATTTCCTTGTTAATTGATTAATTCTAATTGGTTTGTTTGTTTTTCTTTCGAATTGATTCATTCAATATTGAAGTGTTTTACTCGTTTGCTTCGTTTTCTTTGTTTTTCCCTCCAGAGAAATTAGGCGGAAGGAACAAAAAAAGAAGCAATAATTATTATTGTTATTTTTTCTTTCTTTTTATTAGTTGTATCTTTCAGTAGATAGATATCCTCAGTCAAAGCAGCATTTTTCCCCTCCCCTTGGCTCCACGTTTAAAAAATCATGTCTATTACTAATAAGTATGATATTTTTTTTACAGTTATCGATCTTGTTTGTTTGGCTTATATATTTATATAAATAAAGTATTAAATTACCCTCTTCAAAAACAGATATTTCAATTGATCAATTGACGATGATGATGAGTTTGTAAAGCAAACGTATATATTGGACAATGTTTTGCCATCCCTCCCCATCCTAGTCGGTTACGTTCTTCCTAAATTCTCCTTTTATTGTTGTCAATGGTGGTAGTTACTTTTATTGTAATAAATTCATCTTCAACTATTTCATTTTTTACTGAATACATGTTTGTTATTCTTCTCATTCTTATTTATTTATCCGTTTTTTTTAAAAATAATTTTTATTCAGGAAAAATCTAGACTTTCCATGACTATCTACTTACATACCTTTAATATCTGCCATAAAATTATTTGTTTTGTTTTACTTAGTCATATATTTAATTCTATTGATCATTGTTAGATAATAGTTTGACTTCAACTTTTCTTTTTTCTTCGTTAAATCACTTTGATTTGAATGTATCTTATCATGGGTGGATTGTGTTTGTTTTGTTTGTTTTTTCTGTATGAAAATGATACTAATACTACTATTACTATTGTCAATAGTAATAATATTAGTAATTATTTTCTTTTAATTATAGCCAATGCCTTCCCCCCCGGCCTTATTGTGCTTTCAGTCCTTTTTTTTGGTCGATTTTTTTATCGCCCCCTTTTTTGTCGGTAACCTATTATTATTATTATTATTATTATTATTATTACTATTACTGTAATTCAGAATGATTAGTGTTTATTTATTTATTTTTAGTGAAATTTATTTTTTTATGAAGGAGAAGATAAAATACAAAAAAAATCAGATAAAAAAATTTTTTTCTCAAATTATAATTTTCTGTGTTTTTTTTCATTTGTTACTTTGAAAAATGAGATAATCAGGTATCATTGTACAATTGAATGAGTTACTGTCATAAAAGTGAAACAAAAATTCAAAGAGATTAATTCTATTTCAATGTGTTTATGAATGTAAGATTTTTTATTTATGTTATAACTTATGATCGCCGATTTGAGAACATTGACTTATCGATCGGATCAATGACGCGTAAATCCGTATGAGCAGCCTAGAGTTTTGATTGACCTTGCTTCCAGTCTAGCCCAGTCAGTTACGTCCAGAACACAAGTCTCAGTCTCTACGATATGAATCATTATATTTCAAACATACTCTGTTTATATACCAATCAAGTAGACCAAATCGTACCATAAAATAGAAAATAACATTTGTAAAATATTTGGCCAATAGGAAAATGATACCATTTCAAGTCCAAGGATAGTATTAGACTTAACAGGATAATTTTTTGAGATATTTTTCTGAATATCCCAACAATTTACTGACTTCATTTAAATTAGATTTGATCCAAAAGATTAATATCATACTCATTAATGTCATTGTGACCTTTAATCTGATTTCAGTTAGATCATTTTTGATTGTTATCGGAATATACATCCTGGCAATCGTCGTTTATAATCATCGACTTAACTTTTATTAATGATTAACAAAATTAAATAAGTCAGATACGAGAATGAAATTTGAATACGTATATTTCATACAATCATTGATCCAGACAAACGATTGAATAGAGAGAAGCGAAATGACGCGTAATGCAGAAGGTATATAAGCCAATTCGTTATAATCAAGCGTCAATCGATATTTATAGTCAGACGAAAATAAGTTACAGACATGTAATGAATAAAATAAGGAATGCACACACTTACATAAAAATATTTAAGTTTGATGAGTGAGTAATTGACAAGATCGAAATGCGACTCAAGAAGAATGAATAAATTGGCTTGTTCTGAAGCCAGAATAAGCTACATGAGCTTAATATAGCAACCGACACTACATCATCATATAGAAATTATTCACTTACATCGCATGCATTCCGACCGGTAAATAACGTGGTGTCATGCCTAGAGTCGTTCAAGGTAATCTGTATAGTATAAAATAATTCCACTGCATTTGGTCTTCAACAATTAGATCATAGGCTCTAACTTCACAATACCTATTGAAGTTTGAGTATCTGAGTATTATCACTTGATCCACACAAGATATGTCTCAAAGCTGTAGCTGGTATTAATAATCTACGTCATAATGTTTTCTAATGTTCGTAATAAGCTAAATACTGATTTCTTTGTCATTGTGGATTTGTTTATTTTACTCAGATAAAGAATGTACAATTTTTCTAGTCAAATTTGTTTCAATGGTATTTCTATCCTAATTGGTTATTATTTCTTAGCTTGTAGGGTTCATTAACTGAGATTTCTTTTCCGTAAAATCTGCAGTGTGATAACTAGAATACATATATGGATAACCGTTTTCAGTTTAACAAGTTATGAATAATATCAGTGAACAAACAATCATGTGTAATATTCCAGTTTCAAGTGTATCCTAGTCACTTCGCTTATGGGAATAATCATACCAAATGAATCGATTTTCAACATTGCCACTAATTTCGAGCTGTGTCATTTAAGCTACTTAACAGCAAATCAGTTGTTATTTCATAGATTCCAATTGAAAATTCTATTTATCCAGAGAAGGTTTAGACTAATAGCTATTTCAAAGACTGGTACTAGTCTTAGTTCGGTCACCTCTAAGCGTCTTTCAACTTTTATACTGACCAGAATTGTACATCGGCGTAGGTGGCAGCTTGTTATGTTTAGTACAAGTCCTAGCTGAGTCAATCGTTGACAGTTTCGAAACTTACCAATCGATTCGCTATTTCTATTCTATACTCTACGCCTAGACTCAAATCTACTCACTTTTTTTCATCGTACTTGAACAACTCATCAAGGATATATGTAACTAAATATGAGGAACCCGCTCATTTTTTCAACCTTCATGGGTTATTTCATAATAATTTAATGAAAATCAAAGTTCGGAACAGCTTGCTCATCGTTTTGTACAAACATGCATTTCTCATCTGTACGCCATGGATAAATCATAAATGGTGGAACTTCCAAAGGCAAGTTATTAATACACTTGACAGCTTTGGACTCTGATTAGACTAGAGTGACACGGATGAGTCATTCTTGCATCTAGCGGAGAAGGGATGTGTCTGGACGCTTTCATATTCTTTGAAATTCATTTCATGAGACTTTTTGATGGACTACTGTTATGGTTCAGTAAGAATCTAATGACCAAGCCTTCTGCCATAGTATAAAAAGGGTTGATATTTCTACATGTATATTTTTACTCTGATATTAATGAATAGGACAAAATACTATGATTAGTTATGTATCGTAATCAATGACACATGGTTTTTTCTCTGTGTTAAATCTAAGATAACTTACTTACTTACACCTGTTACTCCTTGTGAAGGAGAATAGGCTGCTCACCAGCATTCTCCATCCAACCCTGTCCTGGGCAATCCTTTCCAGCTCCTTCCAGTTGTAATTCATCCTTTTCATATCTGCTTCTATTATCCAACGTAATGTGTTCTTTGGCCTTCCTCTTTTCCGCTTCCCTTCAGGATCCCAAGTTAGGGTTTGCCTCGTGATGCAGTTCGACGATTTGCGTAATGTATGTCCTATCCATTCCCATCGTCTTTTCCTAATTTCTTCTTCATCTGGAAGTTGGTTTGTTCTCTCTCACAGAAGGCTGTTGCTGATGGTATCCGGTCAATGTATGTTGAATATCTTGTGTAGACAGCTATTTATAAATACTTCTACCTTCTTGATGATGGTTGGCGAAGTTCGCCAAGTTTCAGCTCCATACAGTAGAACTGTCCCGGCGTTCGTATTGAAGATTCTCACTCTGATTTTGGTTGAAAGTTGTTTCGAGTCCCATATATTCTTCAATTGAAGGAATGCAAACCTTACTTCGCCAATCCTCACCTTTACGTCTGCATCGGAACCTCCTTGTTCGTCGATGATGCTTCCCAGGTCTGTGAAGGATTCCACATCTTCCAGAGTTTCGCCGTAAAGAGTGGTTGGATTGTTGTTCTCCGATTTGAATTTGAATACCTTGGTTTTCCCTTTGTGTATACTGAGGCCTACTGATGCTGGGACTGCTGCTACACAGGCTGTCTTTATCTGCATTTGTTCGTGTGTATGCGATAGGAGGGCTAGGTCATCTGCGAATTCCGAATCATCTAATTGATTCTGAGATGTCCGTCGTATTCCGTGTTTCCCTTCAGATTTCGAGGTCCTCATAATCCAATCGATCACCGGAAGAAAGAGGAAGGGGAGAGTAAA